GTCTTGAAAAAACTTGATCAAGATCTTGATCAAGATTTGTAACTGATTCTGACGAAGCAATTAATTAGTTATTAATTAATTAGCAGAATCTTGACAGTTTTTCGATATCTGTATAAATGTAGAATAGCTTTTGGATTGTTTAGGTAACTTAATTATCTCAATATTCAAGTATTCCAATAAAATTAAAGATTATGATACAAGTTCGTTATGAATATTATCGTGATAATGATAAAAAAGAAAATGGTAATATTAATGAATTTAGATTGGATCAAATTACTTCTGATAATGTAATATGTTGGTATACACGACCGTGTTTTTGCTATCGTTTGATAAATAAAACTCTCTTTACACAAGTTCCTGATTGTTTGTTTACATTTCGATATATTATCACCAATATTCATAAACAATTAGACATTTTATATAAGCAGAATCGTAATGACACATTAACACCAAACACCAATAGTTTTATATCGAAGTAAAGTTTTATCGGCTATTACACTACAAAATTTGAAAGATAACATTTGTGGTTTGATGTCAATGAACGGTTTCATATCAACCACTAGAGCTGAACAAGTAGCAAATATTTACTGTAGTCGTGATCAGCAAAACAGATATGAACCCTCTTTTTTTAAATTAAATATTGGTATTGATAGTCAAGTACCTTATGCTTCGATCCAAGAGCACAGTGTAATTCCAGATGAAGATGAAGTCTTATTTTCTGTTGATACAGTATGGCGAATAAAATCTGTGAATCAAGGTGAAGATAAAGTATGGAATATTGTATTAGATTTAGTGGCAGATCAATGTTGTATTGAGCTGGCAAATTATCTAAAAGAACAGTTGGGTGAAGAGACAACATTGTTAACATTCGGTAATCTCTTAAGTGAATTAGGTGAATATGAAAAAGCTATTCGTTATTATAAGATTCTCTTGAAGAAGCTATCTGCTGATGATAATGAACGTAGTACAATTTATAATAAACTTAGTTATTTACGGTATGAACAGGGTGAATATTCATTGGCTGAAGAGTATTATCGGTTAGCGATAAGTTATTTGAAAGATAAAGAAGATGAGCACATAAAAATTAACGATAATCCATTCGACTTGATTGATGTACAGGGTTGCGAGAAATGTTTTGCCCGGGGGGTACAGCTCCAATGACAAATGATATCAATATTGAATTTTATACCAAATGAAAGCTCGTGAAAAATGGGGTTAACAGGTAGAGTTGGTGATGTGATCGATAGTCATTGACTATAGGTTTACTGGAAATTTTAGGATAGGGAAGGAAACACGACTGAGAAAACTTTTTTTCAGAAGATATTATTTGAAATTTATTTTACTTTAAGCTGATAGATTTATTAGTTTAATGTTTATTCTTTTTGAAGTTCATTAGCATAATCAATAATCTGTGTGACCACCGTTCGCTTGTTTCACACCACGTAATCTTGAGGGGAATGAACATAAAAGGTTTTCAAAAAGTTCTGTGTCTGTTTCCACGTCTTGCAAAACATCGATGATATGATTTTTCAATGTTTCCTCGCTATACCGATCACTTTCAGTCTCTGACAGCATTCTTTTCTCAACTTCATCTTTGATTATTGTTCCAATGTGTTCAGCTACGTTTAGATCAGGTGAATTTCTGGACCAAATATTGTTACCCCAAAACTTGATATTGTTGTCTTGTACGCGCTGGAGCATGCTGACTCCAGTTTTGATATTTGCAGCTCAAGAAATAATCTAATTTCGCTAGATTTTCCTATATATGATACGCTAGGTATTATGCTGTGTAGCCATTGGCGTGTAATGGCGCCAATCGAAGCGTTTGCTATGAGCTATAATAATAAGGCAAAAATCGCATAGATTATGTCGACACCAGAGGAAAGTTAAAATCAAATTATAAAATTTATGTTGTCGGTATATTTGTTTAATTTTATGCATAGAGCTAAATTTTCTCGGCGTTCTGTTCACCGCGGCAAAAGTGAGCAGTTTTCTAATGTATTCAGTGAATGTTTGTTAGAGCTCTAATGTATATATAGTCGTGTGTTTTATTATAAAATAGAGCTGATGATTATTACAGGCCGTAATCAAAAGCTTCAATTTTTGAAATAAAAGAGCAATGATTGGTATGTGCATACAATTATTATTAGCTTTAATGAAATCGATCTTTTCGAAAATGCTTTTCTTTCAATATAAATCGATACAGATTTTGATTTTCTGTAATTTTCGATATTTTTTTATCTTCACAAACTTATCAGTGTTTGATTCAAAAGTGTTTCTTTTCATCAGAATTCCTTCATTAATGACTATTATCGATACCATAATAAACACCATAATAACACTTGGTGGCCTTCTGAATAATCTTTAATAGAAAGGATGTGTAGACTTGAGGGTTTCGCCATTCCAACGAGGAGACTTAAGACATGTTCTCATAAGCAGAATGATTTCGAAATCGGTCTTTTAAGANACTTGGTGGCCTTCTGAATAATCTTTAATAGAAAGGATGTGTAGACTTGAGGGTTTCGCCATTCCAACGAGGAGACTTAAGACATGTTCTCATAAGCAGAATGATTTCGAAATCGGTCTTTTAAGAAGATTTCCTTGGTGGACGGTAGAAATGAAGCCGTGACTTAAAAAGTCCACATACAGAGCTATTAATTTTTTTCTGTTCATAAATAGTTCATAGCACTCTGTTTAAAATGGGGGTGTATCAGAATGTTAATTTTTTGTGGTGCGAGCATGGTATCGGATTTCGAGAAGATCGCATAATTCTTATCCGATGACTTGAGGTACTATCGAAAGTTCAAAACATTAATGTTGTATGTTAAGCGTGATTATGGGATCGAAATAATTCAAAAGCAATGGTTTCGTCGAGAGGATGTTTCAAGAAAAGCTCATTTTGATTTCTGGATTACAAAAACCAAGCTCGAAATCCGGGTTTTCGCCACACTTGCGTTTCAAGACAAGCTTAAGATGTTATTTGAAAACAAACAGTGCCACTGGCGTCAGCGTGGTCGATTTTGTATGTTTTGTGCGATTCCCCTACTTTCTTAAAACATTTCAAAGTCTAGTGTCAACTATTGGAATAAAAATGAATCATCGACGAAAATGGACTTCTCCTGTTTTTAAAATTTTTATTCCGATCAACAACATTGGTCAATTTGCTACTCTTACTACCGAAAACATAGAATTTGCTAGAAAATTTGGTTGTTTTCCGTCTGCTTTATCCACCCACCCTCTATTACAAGATATATGAAAATTACCATACCGTTTCTGAGACTGAATCTAAACGAACTGGATAAAATGATTGTTGATCTGTGGTTGTTGTCGATGTAAGCCTTGTTTTCTTGTTCGTTGGTCAGTCAACCAATGTTATATTGTTATTTCTTCTGAATTGACCTTTCAATACCCGAAGATGAATATAACTGATACACTCACACTTTATTATAATAAATCAGCAACTATATATAGGTTTATGAACAATGCATTAGATATGGTAATGTCCGAGTTAATGGAAATTCCCTAGACAGAATAGGAAGAAAACGCAACATTTAACAGAAAGGAAAGAAACAGAATAGAGAAAGTTACATATGGGGAAAATCCCAGAACATACAGAATAACGCGCAAAAGTATATATATGCATGTTTATAAGAAAAATAGCAGAAGTGATGGATGATATGATCTAACCGAAGGTGAAGATCATAAAGTCAAATCTTTCTTTCGTTAGGTGTATATGATTTGAGCACTTTTCATATAGTTCGAGAGCATTATCTGGACTACTACAAACACACGTACATGGTTCATAACATTTATCGCATCGATAAAGCAATTTTGTTAATTCATAAATAATGCATATGGTACTAAACTTTGCCCGACGAACATTTGTGAATTCCCAATGATGCTGGGATGGAACATGCAGGAATAGTTCTCTGCTGGAGAAAAGTTGACAATCAACCTGCTCATTATCATCACGAGTTGTAGATGAAGTCATTCAAATGGAGAAAGAAAAATTCCTAAATGAAAAGAAAGGCACAAAATAGTTTGTAGAGAAAAATTTGAAAACTAATATCACTATAACCGTTGCATTCACATAAAGATTTGTTTA